AAATTACATAACTATATTACTTATAATTACTTAACCCTTCAACAAATATACAAAGACTAGAGATCTTTAACCTTTCTAGCTAAACTTAGGTCAAGAGTAAATTAGCTCTTACCTCCATCCTCCATAGACATAGATAATCATTACTTACTTATATAAATTGTAATTCGTTTTTCTATATCATAATAAAGAGATTGAGGAAAGACCTCGTTTAAAAAAAAAAAAAAAAAAAAAAAGATAAAAATTTATTTTCTTTTTATTATGTTTTCTACTTATAAAAAAAAAAAAAATAAAGTAAAATAATTTATTTATTACTATCTCTATAATTGAGTATTAAAAACTTAGTAAACTTAAAAAGTTAATTTAATAAAATTTTTAGAAAATATAATATGAAACATTTAAAGTTTAATCCAATTTGATAAAAGTGATTTACGAGAAGAGTTTTTTTTTTTTATAAAATTTTTATTTTAAATTTTAAATTATAATAACTCTAATCAGTGAACAATATAACAAACGACATGAGTACTAAGGATTATAAATTAAGATATCCGATTCCTTTTGGTTATAAGTTTTTAAATTCTGGTTAATAAAAATATCGATTAACATTTTGTATAAGGCAAGAACATATAAAATAATTATACGTATTCACTTTTAAATATATTTATTAATATATTTGTTAATAAGTTATTTATACAATGTTATGAAATGAAAAATGAATTAAAATATATTAACTTGTAAGTTAAAACAATATTTACATCAGCCTAGTTATATAAAAAAATTTTCAAATAGTAAAATATTTAATAAAAATGATTATTATAATCTCAAAGCAAACCCATTCCCAATTACACAAGTACATAGAATTCTCTTTAAATCATTTCATTAATATATGTACCACCTAAAAAAAATTTTTTTTAAGGTTCTATAGTCACATCCGCCTTTATACCATTATTAATATCATTAATTTCATTTTCTTCCTTTTGAATAGGTTCGTCAATACTTAGACTAGAAAGTTCTTCAGGTTCTTCAGAAAAAACATCATTTTTAACCGATCTTGATGTCTCATTCGGATTAGGTGGTGACATTACAAGCCATTCATCAATTGCTCGAAGAATATCTGTTAATTCAATATCAGATTTAGTAACATTGCCTAGTCCTGTCATAACTTTGCTATCAAGTTGCCATTCTTGTGAAATGTCTCTAGCTAAAGTGGACATTTTCACGGTTTCCTATTAAATTATTAGTTTCAATAAATAAAATTAATCAATAAAATTAGTCAGAAAACAAATTAATAATTAGATAAAAATAATTATATTTACCTGAAGAAACGTTATTGTAGCATCATAAACTTTAAGTTGTATACCCAAATCCTCTTTTTGTGTCGATTTTACCACCAATCGAGATTTTTTCAATTGTTTTGTCACATCTAGTACAATTTTAACGTGTGATCTCAATTCTTTTAATTTTATTTTTACAGGTAATGCAGATGCCGATTCATCTGATGATGAAACAAGGGCAGTGTCTAATTGTTCGTTTAAAAGTTTTCCAACATTTTCCACAGATTTGATAGCAGCATCAACTTTTGAAAGCATTTGTTCAAATATTGAAATAGGTAATGCAATATCAGAAAGAGAATTGCTTGCCAAACCAGCAGAATAAGGACCGAAAGAAGAAGGAGACATTCCAGCAGTAGATGGAGTAGTAATTCCATTCGAAGAAGAATTATTAAGTATAGAACCCGCAGAAAGAGGAACCCCGTTAACATTACTACTACTATTTGAACGTGACATGGACTTTGATCTCATAGGCGTTGAATTTCCAGTATATGGAGTGATATTATGAAGAAGTGGATATATATTTTCCCAAGCAAATTTAATGTCTACCATAGCACCATTAAACATTAAAAGAAGTGTTCGTGAATAACGAAAGTTTTCAGAAGGTTGAGTTAAATATTTAAGATGTTTATTTAATAAATCCAAGAGAACTTTAAAATATAAAGCATGCA